TCACAGACGGGATCATCGTCCCACAGCGCCTGTAAAGAGCAGCAAAGGTTACAAGTACAAAAATATTATCGCACCGTTGTTCTTCAACGTTCACCAAACGACGGGTGAGGGATTGCATCCGATCGCCATGAAATTGACCAACAACGCGATAGATTACGTACACTGGGACGATCCCAACAAACTCGTGGATCGTTTGAGATTGTTGGAGTCGTCTCGTCGCGCGGGAAACGACTCGCATGATAACGAGTTTTTGTCCATCATCGAGGAGCTTCGCGAGGCGAAAGTGATTATAAATTGAACCGTTGCTCGAGAAACGTCGACAGTTCCGTTTGCGCGCGATGAGCGTCAACAAGTTCGGTTTGACGTTGCAAAGGCGCGGTTACAATTACAATGACAAAAAACGCTTTTGACTAGCTATTTTGCGCAATTACGTACGCAACTACGCTTTCTGTTTGTCCGCATTATCAGCCGAGTACGATGCGAAGGAGCGCGCCATAACTTGTTTGAAGAAACCACGAAACGATTCCGACGCCGCGACCAAGTTCTACGTAGACGTCGCTCTCACACGAGCGTACGACGCTGCAGGACGCATCCACGTGAAACAGTTTATCAGTCGACAAATGTTTGAGGAATATACAGTACAAGCGGGGCACTCGAGCAAAGCACTGAGCAAGGACATTGAGCATCTGCGAACAAACGCGTACTATCGATTGAATAAACTGGAGAAGAAGCCGCGGGGTGCAGATTCGCAACAAGTCAAAACCTTGAAAAACGACTTGATTCAATTACAACAAACATTGGAAGAGACCGTTGAGCATCTGCAAAAAAACGATCAATTGGATAAGCTGAAAAATACACACACAGATCTGAGAAAGCAGATTGAATCTTTGCAAACGAATGTGAACGAGTTGTTGCGCGACGTTCCGACTCATGTTCAGGAATTTATTCGTACGCAAAACGCTGGCTTGAATAACGAAGTGTTAAAAACATATATTTTACCATTACAGGAATCTCTGAACAAGGTAAAATATGATCTGAGTTCATTGCAAACAAACAGTCTGGGTTATGATTTGCACACCATTTACTAAACTGTGCAAGAATTGGTCGAGAAAAACAAGCAGATAACATCGGGTCAAAACCAAACATGAGCGTCGAGAAGAGAGAGCTCGCAGAGGAGCTGCACGCGCCCGCGCGACGCAACTTTCCACGCAGACGTGTGGTCGTGCGCGGTTACGACGATCTGTGGCAGGCCGATGTGGTCGAGATGCGCCC